GTTGACAGGCTAATGAGCGTGTCTGAAAACCAACAAATATATGAAACCAAGATATTCCGTAGGGAGTTTAGTGAAAAGAAACAGACATTAAAATAAATAAATGAACATTGGCATGCTATGAACATTTCAGATAAGATAAACTTAGAAATTTAATATTTCACTTAACCTGTGGCTGCAATCTCTAAATGATATAATTTAATTCTAAAATATTTTGACAGGATACTGCTACAACAGTTTTGACGATAAACGTACATAAATTATCTGCTTTAGCAGTTTCATCTTAAGTGAACCGTAGACTTCTACTGCTGTTCTAATTGTCTAAGATTAATCTAGTACCCTCTGTAACCTAATCATGCTTTTCTAAAGAAAATTCCGTTTATCTTGAATGTAGATAAAATTGGGCAATAAAGTACATCATATCATTTGGCACTGCATTTGACAAGTTCCAACCGTTCGTAGGATAATGTAAGATATTTGTATTAACTGCCAGTCTCTTTAAACAACGAATCGAGTTCAGTATAATTTGACGCAATTAGCTAAGATAAGAGCAGCAAGTCGTAACACCTGTGACCTACAACGACAATACGCTGTTTTCGTGTGGTCACGTCACAGCATGGGAGGTTCAGAACCACGCTGTCCGATTTGTACGGTTTATAGATGCAATTCGCCTTGCCAAGACGAGAACTGACTAAAGGAGAGCACCGAAACGGAATGACACATTTTCGCACGGATCGGCGGTCGGTGTCAGCGAGCAATCGTGTGAAACCACCAGGTCGAATTTATATAAATTTCTTTTCTATTAACTTTGATTTATCTCCTGATACTACATAAAGGACAAAGAGCTCCTTGTGAGTCGAATACGGATAGGTGAGTTTCAAAGATTTAGTGTTTTTGTTAGAGGGTTCCACTGTATCCACAGCGAGAGGTCATTAAGCCAACGTGAAATCTTGTGGTTACAAGTCCGTTACAGCCATTTTCATAAAGCTCTAGGTGAACACATTACGTAAACTATTTCAACTGTGATTCTTCTTGGGTCGTTCGAACACAACTGCACTGAACGCATGATTTTCACAAAAACGCATTCCGCCAATTTCGATGGAAAGCATGTCAGTTTGTAATAGGAGGATCAGCACATGCTGAATCAGACCATCAAATAGAGTTAGAAATGTCAAAATCAATAATATGGAAGCTAACTGAATGATGGATTTGGTAAAATTTGGAATAAAAAATTACAAAATTTATAAACATTTGTGCTTTAGCGCGTTACTACGAAATGACGAAATGATCCATTTTTTAAAAAAGCATTACACGACAATAAGACTATACTGCGCCAAAGAGCATGCGCAAAAACGACCACTGGATGCACACCTGGCTGAGCGTTTCATGTATCATGTACGTGTAAACATACATTCAACACAAGCACTTAATATAAACAGTGAAACCGCAGTGGTGCCATTGCCCTGATTTAATCATCTCACATAGTCGCCACAACGCATCATAAAATAAAAAAGTACATAAATGAAATTTAAGCAGAGTCTGAAAATGTTTCCTACTGAACTTAGAGAACACTTGTCATTGACATGTAAGATTATGACAGAAATGGGAAAGGCTAAAGAGGCAGACATCTGACAAATGCATATGTTACGTCCAGGGTGATAAATCCGTCCATATCAAACTGATATGGTGTGAAACTGATCTGTGATTAAATCCAATGCAGTAGAACAGAGGTTTTCCTGGATGATTACTAAGCCTACCAAAATGCCAAAGACAGAATTGTCTCCTGTATGTTTACTTTACGTCGTGGCTTTGACTTAAGCTGAGGCTTAGAAAATAATATGGTAAAAATTACATAACATCAAACTAGACTGAATGCTAATTAATTCCAATCCACATGTTGTGCGCTGACAAAGAGCTGAGTATGGCCGAAACGATGGCCATTTCTGCCAATAAATGCATATACCGAGCAAGTTCTATAAAAACCATAAAGACCATGGAATTAAATTCACTCTAAATAATACGGTTTAGTTCATACCGATTTGGACGGAAATACATAAATTCAAGCTGGTGAGCTGAATTAATGACAGTAGAGTTATACAAGCCTAAAATGAAAATTTTCGTAAATCCACAGGTCTGACAAATCCATCATGTTGTGCTCACAGAAAACTTTCAATTGGTATCTGTGACGAGATAAGCCAAACAGTTAATACAGACAGACAAACGACAATATAATATAGATTTGAATCGACGGCGGAACGGTATGACAAAACTGGCACAAAAAATACCCGGCAAATAAAAATCTCACCGACGGCAGAAGGCTGCTCGGCGATACGTTCGCACGGCACTGGTCCCATTTCCGATATCTGGTAGAGACATTCCAGCACGAAGACGCAAAGCATCACATCTTTGATGGCGGCAAGGGCTATCACTCGACGCAACACCGACGCATCGAGGTACTCGCACAACAACGGCTCGTTTTTTTCGTTGCTGCACAACTTGCCGATGGTTTCCAGGGCTGAAAAACACAGGGTTCCAAACGTTAACTAAAGCTTAAAAACACGATCTACACTGAGGACTGTACCTCTTATGATCAGCAACTTGTTAGAAGAGTTCAGAAACGTGTTTAACACTCGAAAAAGGTAGCTACAGTAAGGGTCAATCGGATCAAGCGGTAGGCAGTAGGCAATATTGCTCAAAATATCCAAACCGATCGATTGGATGTCTGGCCATCTGCAATACATGCTTACCAACAGGAACCTGCAATTAATAACGATAAAATCACAGAGTTTTAAACGTTTCGGCTATCACACTTCATAACTGTCCGATTCTCGCCAAGCGAATGCTGATGCTCCTCCTCGAAAGAAAAATTTCGAATGATATTTCCAATCTATAAAGTATTTATCATATGCCGATCACATCAGTCATCGATATCAAAACTCATTTTTGGTATGTGCTCACTATCATTGAGTCGGGAACACGCCGGTCTTAACGTACCAATGACCCCCGTTTTGGGAGACAAGTAAGTATCGATAGAGGAGACATATTCAAAATCTCAAAATGGTGAACATGAATTATAATAAGCGCAAATGGGATGATCATAAAATAAATAAACAGAATAAATAAAATCTTATGAGACACGATGAACAGCATTTGCGTGCAAGGCTCTGAATCAGACTCCTGAAAAGCCATAAAAATAACCCAGGCATTAAAAATCGCAAGTGCCGAACATGTTAATTGGAAACTAGAGATTTGAACGGTTCAACATTGAACAACAGCATTTATAAATTTAAAGGCACAAGTTCTTGTCATCATGGTCACCTAATGCTTGAACCA